ATTCTTATTTAGTGGGCCATCAGCAATCATTCATGTGCTTTTGGGTTACTGTTGAATTTTTATAAAACCTTCATTCTTTTGGGAGAAGTGATAGATTCCAAATTAAAGTGGTAGTATGCTATGAACAAACATCTTAATTAAATGAAGAAATTGCGAAGTTATCCTCTTTTCACTGTCTGCAGTTGCTTTGGATAAAAGTAAAAATAAGCTGTGTTTAAAAGTGGCTGTAATATGAGAAAATGGAACATGCAAAGAACAAACAAAGCAGAACAGTGATCTCCAGTACAATTTTTTTTAAGAAGTATGCACGAGGTGAAGAGAATAGAAACTCTTTTCTCACTCTTGAAATTTGTCCTATCCTCAAGAGACCTGAACAATGCTTTGATGATGTTGTTCCTAGCTGGCTTTTCTTATGGGAATTCCATTAGTTCTTGATGCACTCTCCCTACATATACACATGATTGGCTAATCATGAAAAGTCTTAGCAGCCTGCATTACTTGTTTGTTTTTTTTATCAGTTTATATTTTAATTTATTAAGCCCAACTTGCAAATTGTATCTCTGTGTGGCTAACATAAGTTGAAAATCTTATCAGCACTAATACAGAAAACCAATCACAACAAAAGGATAATGTAACTGATGTGAGCCCATAATCATTCAGTTTCTACCCAATACAGATCGATTATACCAAGAGAAAAGTCAGATCTTCAAGGTCTTTTGGAAAGCCAATAGGTGGGACCATCTAAATTTCAGGGGTTATGCTGTTCCAAAGGGCAAGTGCTACAACAGAGCAGGTTTGCCTCCTGAGTCTCATAAGATGATGCTGTTTTATAGAGAGGACACAGATCATGCTCAGCTTTCAGATTTTGTGGGATAATAAAAAACAATTGTAAAAAGGCAGTTCCACAAATAGCCTGGCCCTTGGATAGAGGAGTGTATAGATGGAATTCAGCAGCCTGAATTGTACTCAGAAGCTTATTGAGTACAATTCATAAAACCAGGATATCATTTTGGTGTACCAAGATGTGCTCTTAGTGATTCATGTCACCACATTGTGTGGTTCAGTTAAGCTTCTGGATGGTGTTCAATGACAGTTCCATGTACAATACATTGTAATAGTTCAGTTAGGAGATAAGCAAAGACATGAATGACTGTGAAAAGAGTCTCCTTATCCAGGAATGGGCACAATCAATTTAGCAACTTAGCACTTAGACTTATATACTGCTGTACATGCTTCACACCACTCTCTGAGTGCTTTACAGAGTCAACATATTACTCCCAACAATCTAGGTCCTCATTTTTCCATCCTCGGAAGGATGCACGGCTGAGATAACCTTGAGCCCTGTCAGGATTGAACTCCAGACTGTGGCAGAGTTAGCCTGCAATGCTGCCACCCGGGCTTTTATTAATTTACAAGGATTTGTGCAAGGATTTTCTTGCCATGGCTGCCATTTGCTGTTTATCAAGAGCCAAAAATCCAAGAAGACAGCTGAGTTGTGTGCCAGTTCTGTCCAGACCAAAAATTGAAAAGTCTTCCAATTCAGGAGACCTCACTGCCTGTTCTCCTCCATGTAAACCCGAGTAGCCTCTAAAGATAGAAAAAGACCCTTGGCAGGATCACTTATTTCATTAGGGATAAAGATATATAGCTGAGATGATACTTAATCCAATGCTGATAGATGATGTCACCCAGAAGTTAATGTTAAATAGGAATGGAGAAAGTATGGAGTGTTGTAAGACCCTGCAAACAGGAATGTAGGACTAGATCTCTCCTATCCTACCACCATTGATTGCAACTGCCCCTGCAGGAAGAAAAAAACACCGCAATATGTGCCAACACACTCCCTGAGCCTGGAATCAGTCCACAAGGAAACCATGACTGAGGATGTTGAAAGCCGCTGAGAAATTAAGAAAGATCAGACTGGATGCTCTAGCCCATGGGTGTCAAACTCAGCACGTCATGTGACGTGTTGTGATGTATCATGACCTTTTTGCATTGCCGGAGCTGGGGTGGACGCGGCCTCCGCATGGTGCAACCAGCCCATAGGCTGGCAGCTTGACACCCCTGCTCTAGCCCATTATGATCTGGCCAGAGATCCATAAACATGGTCAGTGTTGTCTATTTTAACTTAATGAGGCAAACCTGAGTGAAAAGGGTCAACATAATCTGTTAACATTTTAAACAGCACTACTGCTAGCTTGATCAGTTTTTTTAAAACATTACATCCCAGAAGTTACATGTGATTCCCTGAGTTTCAGATTGTGTATTAGTATTTAAATGATATGAAACCCAACTGAAAAGGGTTTACATAATCAGTTTCTTACTGGGCTCCTTAAAACTTTAAACTAACTACATTCTGAACAGCCTTCCCTAAAAAGAGTAATTGATGTTAAAAAAAGGTTGTCTAATACTATTGGATATAGGGATGATTTCTTGAAGAGGGGATAGATTATTATCTCTTTAAGAACTGGCAGAACAACCACCTCACTCAAGGATGAATTTGCCACTGCATAGACCCAATTACTTGTCATCTCCCCGGAGGCCTTAAGCAGCTAGGAAGGTCAAGGATCTGATATCCAAGTATAAAGGTATGTACTTGCAGCCCCAAGGGCCTTGGCCAACTTCCTCAGGATTAACAGGCTTGGAGTTTTCTCCATCAAACAGCCTTTTGGGCGTTGATTCAAAATACTGAGATATGCTATATTTTTACTAATGATGATTTGTAATCATCCTTCTTAATAGTTATGTTTACATTTTTTTTACCATGCTATTTTAGATTCTTACCTGCTTCAGGTATTAAATATATCACTTAGAGTGGCCATTAATCATCTTAAGTAAAGCGGGCACAGCAAAAATATGAGTTGTTTTTTTAAAACAGCTAAACTGCAGTCCAATATTAAAAAAAAACCAAATAAACTATTTAACTTTAAGCTTAATTAATTTTGCAGTCAGAAAGCTACAACGCTGAATTATTGCAACCTACATCTTGTAATCCTACTGTCAGCCACCAAAAGGAAGAAGTAAGACTTGGAAACTTGTCTCATAGCTCAGTCATTTGATTTGCCTCATTCACTTGTTACTGCCTCACCAATGCAGACTCCTTTTAAGGGCTTGGTGAGTCAGTCTTGCCCTCACAGGCACTTCTGCCATCCCCATATCTTGTCCCATGGGAAGTCAAGGGAAAGTAAGATGACTCAATTTGAGCTTCAAAAATCTGGTTGATCACTACTGTCCCATGCAGGCAAAAGGAATTTAAATTTGTTTTGGATAGCACTACTGCCTTCCCTGTGCTAGCCGGATCAATCAGTTTTTTGGTTTGTTTTTAAGTTGCTTGTGGTCCCTTGGGATTCTGACCCACAGTTTGAGAATTGTGCATTAAATGCATAGGCATCCAAACATCCTATTTTAAAAACTTTTTGAAGAGGTACATTTAGACAGGAGAGGCAAAAGCTTAGACGATCCCCCACCAAAAAATCAGCTACTTATGTAGTCTGTAACAATCAGTGCTTTTTTTCTAAAAAAAAAAAAAAAAAAAAAAGTGGTGGAACTCACACACGTCATACAACCCGCCTTGCCTACCCTACAAGGTTCCATCCAAAAAAGGTGCCGGAACTCCGTTCTGGGTGTTCTATGAGAAAAAAAAGATCCCCAAGATCTTCAAAGGATATTGCTTTATGGGCTAAGAATGTGAGACTGAATCTAAGAATCTGAAGCAGGGCATCAGTTCATTGCTCCTCCATCACTCACTGGCTCTAAAGATAACTGGTAGATTTCTCTGCCTCACCTGAATGCCACTTTGAAGGAGGAACAAAGACAGTTTTGAAGGATAAATCAAAAAGTTTTTTAGGCTGCTGCAGTCTCTCTCTGCTGCTTCAGATGAAAGAAATGCTGGTTCTATCTACAGCTGGATTGATCACGGACTCTTATTTCAGCACTGCCAGTAGAGTGATGTTGCCTTACTCCTGAAGGTAAAGATCAGCTCAGCAGAGCAGGCCACAGGATTCTGGGAGGTTATGAAGCCTGAGACGGATTCCTCATTTTGCCCAACAATTCTGATTTTAATGTTTTTGTGAAGTTAACCTTTGTAAATCAAAATAACACGTATTAAATGTGAAAAAGTCAACAATTAAAGCACGTCTGGGAGGTTGATTCACATTTCCAGAGTTGCTACTTACAATCTGCAATACAAAGTGGCAGCTTGTATGTATGGAATTTTTTCCCTAAAGACTTATCATTTCACATTCCTTCACTGGAGATCAGTTGTTGGCCTGCTACTACATGAATAAAGTTGCAATGAGGATACTCTTAGAGAATGTAGTCTGGGCTCTATTTAGAAACAAGCGTTATGATCCGTCTTCTGTTTGAGAAGGAGGAAAAGTAGTGTATATATGGAAGAACAGCAACACAAACTATTTTTATAAAGCTTTTACTCAAACTCGCCCCATTTACTCAGGCCGGTACCCTCCAACAGTTTTTTTCACCTTACTAACTTAATGTTCAACAGGCAAAAGAAATCCCCCAATGGCAACCAAAGGGGTAAAAAAAAAGGGATGGAGCAAAGATGTCTACCACCTTCCAATACCTGGAGCATTGCAGCAATTAGACTGCAGGAATCACCCAGAATTGATGGACTGGATCATAAATATTATGGGTGCAGGAAGAATTTGTGCAGATAATACGTTATGGAGATGTGGCCACATGAGGGTGCCTTATTTCTCATCTCTGATTGCTGTAAACACAGAGTGTAATTACTTACCTTCCTTTCTCCCAGTCACATTGTCTTCCATTCCCTACTGCCCAGTTTGATATTTGGATTTTACAAAAGTTTTCTTTGATATCAGGATTCAATTAGCACCCTTTGGTGAGTGAGTGAGTGAGTGACTGAGGCCTTTGGCTTTTTGTTTTCTGTGCCAGGAAAATGTTCTGTGTTTTGCAATGATCAGAGCAATCAAGCTGTGTTTACCTCAACCAAATGTATTTGGGAGTAAATGAAGACTTGAGGAAGGCTTTCATACTGTTTTTCAAAAGTACTGCATGTAAGAATGCTGGAAAGGGGAGTGCAAGAAAGAACTATGTTGACAGAATGGGATTAAAAGAAATGGTTTGTTCTGAGGTACCACGGGCTGTGCATTAACCCCACCCTCCTCTCTTGCACTTGGCTATTTTGGGCTGGCAGCATGAGCCAGAGCTCTGACAGATGAGCACTCAGAAACACAACACAGCACTGTAGCACTTGTTGCTCTGAACACCAATGTAAGCTTCTCCTGCTTTGCCTTTCTTGTCCTTTCTGGTTTATTTTGTTTACAGTTTCATAATTAGGAAAATTATTGTCGGAGTTAGTGGAAGTTTCAAAAGCAGCAGGAGGAGCAAAGGGATTGGGTGGAGAAGGAGCAGGAAGCCTCTCAAGTCCTGTGGGTAAAAGGCAAAGCCGTGTTGGCCCTGGACCCTTTACAGAGCAAGAACAGCTCCTTGCCTGGGGCGATCAGAAATGAGCGATTCGTCTCCTGCCAATGGAGAAGGAAAAGACCCTGAAATTGAACTCTTTGTCAAGGTAGGTGAGACTTTCTCTAGTCAGCTGCAGATATTCACAGTGTCCAGAGTACCATTGTGTTTTAGTGCAGAATTCTTTCCCTTTTCCCTCCCTGTTCTTGTTTGCTTTCCCTCCTGCTGTTGGCTTTAGTCTTTGTTGCTCCAGAGCCATCTCCTTATTCAAATGCCAAACCAGCCAGAGTGGTTTCCTCTCTGAATTTACTTTGAGGAAGGAAAGCAGACCCTGAGGCACTCAAAAAGTCTTGTAGCATGCAGGATGTTGGGGAAAACCTTTATGTATGCAGTCAAACATCTATTAGCACAGAAAGCATTGTGACATTTGGAAGGAGCTCATACTTGCATGTATATAATCTGATTTTATTCGAAATGTGACTAGTAGCAGTTAATTATGTGGATTACCCACTCATATAAAGATGCCAAATGAGGCAAAGTGAAACTTTTTTTAGCAGTATATTTCCGATTATGTGTTTACATGTGCAAGCCATTATCACCTACGTATATTTGCAGTCATTAGGTAATCAAAAATCGTATCTGTCAGAGAAAGATAACCATGCGGTGTGTGTGTGTGAGAGACAGAGATAGGAAGCCTGTGGTCTTTCAGACATTGTGAACTTTATCTCTCAGTAGCCATAATTAACAAAGACAATAGGGAATCTTCCTGGAAGTGCAGACTTCATGGCATTTTAACCATCTTCACATAAAAATAGTAACAATAATGCAAAACAGTAAGGATGGTATATGGCATACTGCCCTCCAAGCATGCTGGAGAGGAAGGGAGAAAATACAGATGAGGGCAAAAATGAACTCATTTGGAATATAAGAAAGTGCAAAATGTATCATTTCCAATCATACATGAACAAAAGCTGGTGAAATCAGAACTGAATCTAAATAAAATTACTTTGTAACCTACAAGAACAATGCAAACACTGCATGTTCAGATGAGCATTTTACTATTGCAGAATCCGTTTCAGGGACAGTGCAGATGCTCTGCTCCTTGGGAAATTGCATTGCCACATAAGAACAAAATTCTCAATGCCATTATTTCTAGAATTCTCCATGGCAGCATTTAGGGCAGGGGTCTTCAAACCTGGCCCTTTTATGACTTCAACTCCCAGAATTCTTCAGCTAGCATGCCTGACAGAGGAATTCTGGGAGTTGAAGTCCACAAGTCATAAAAGGGCCAAGTTTGAAGACCCCTGATTTAGGGCTTTGGAGCTATTGATCAAGAGACCAGACAAGCTCCTTCTGCTTCTCTGTTCTGCTGATGTCCAATCCTCCCACTCTTTTAAGGAAAATTAGTAGTCCTTAAGTAAGTAGCAGGTTTGATTGTGGAATTGGATAAAATGTTGTCTTGGTTATACTGCTGGCATTGATGTATCACCCTAAATGTTTACCCTTAGTTAGAATAAATCAGTCAACAAAATATTTTGCTAAACAATGGCAATCTTAGAGAATGTTGGCTGAAAGTGATGCTGTGTCTCCCTTGCCTCGTTGATGGGCCATCGTAGGGTAGCTAAATTTAGTCAGTTGAGTAGCCAACTATTGCCAAATAATCTACAGGTATCACTTTGTAGACAGTGGCTTATCCTATTTTAATGGCACCATTTCAATTCATTCCGGTATTCTTTTATTATTGTAAGAAAGGTGTGATTGATGGTGTCCTAGCTCTGATTCTTTAAAACCAAGATGTAGACACAGTGCAAAAAGAGATTCTTCTAAGAAAACCGTATAGTGGATAGCCACTATGATGACTTTGATGGGTATGTCTGTTTGGATTTTTTTTCACAAGGACTCTAACTGATAGTCCTCATCACAACTTATGGTATAAAGTGAGTTTGCCAGGTGCTGTGAGCTTCAGAGCTTTCATCAAGAGGTGCTCTTTTTCATCTTCCTGTTTTTGGTTGCCATGAGTTTTATTTTGATACAAATTCTTGTGCTTCCATGATACTATTGCATAACTTACCTCCTCACTTCAGGGCATCTAGGCTGTCATAGCACGGGGATAACAGTGAAGCTGTACTCAATGTCACAAGATGTTTGTAACTTTACAGATTACAAGAGTCATTCCAGAACAGTAAATGTCACCAGGATCATCTGACTTTGCCTCTCTAAATATGCAGGGGGATCAGTAAGGAGCACTATAGCATATGAATAACCATGGCATGCATGCATATATATATATGAGCAGGGGAGACAAAAAGATCCTGACCCCCAACTCTGAAACAGCTAACGGAGTAACGTATGACAGAATGCAAATTAGCAATGGAAAGAGGATAGATGCTGATGTGGGGCGTGCGCTTGAGACTCAACTCGATCAGCTGGGGCCGATGACACGCTCCAAGAGCCGGAAACAGGCATTAAACAACTGTATATAAGACTTCCCCCGGCGTTTGCCTTTTAACCCTGACGATGTCAAATGTATTTGACGAAAGCTTGGTGGATTAAATTCTATTTTTGATAGATATTCTCTTGGTGATCATTATTTTGACTATATATATATATATATATATATATATATATATATATATATATATATATATATATATATATATATATATATATATGCCATGGTGAGTCATGGCATGTCATCCAAAATTAAATTAACATTTAATTCTGAACTAAATGTGACTTTTTAAAGTTACAATTACAAATATAGTGAACATGTGGCAAGGTTGATCTAGACCAGTGATCTAGACCTAATTATTCAAGAATAGTTGCATATTGTTATTGCCCAGCTTTGTTACAAGATCACCTGTTACGTCTGCAAACAGATATGTAACGATAGCAGATTTGGGAATAATAATACCTGGCCAGATTTGAACAATACTGGCTGTTTAAATAGAGAATGACATGCTTTATGTGGCACACTTCTATTATTATTATTATTATTATTATTATTATTATTATTATTATTATTATTATTATTATTAAAAGAAACTGATTTCAGTTCACTATTTCCCTGCTGGGCAACTCCTTTGAAAACCTTAGAATTTTTTTTTACCTAGGAAACAAAGTACAACAAAAGTTCCAAAGCTGAATCTCACCACTAATGTGCACAAAATTGAACAGAAAATGAAACAGCTTTATTTTAAGTTCCATGCTCAAGAGATGTAGGAAATTTCAAGTTGCCATGGTACTGCGTGTTGGCATTAGGATATACTCTTGGTCTGTGATCCACAGTTTGTATAATAATAAAGGTGAAACTTTTTCTTACCATTTCTCTATACAGACATGTTCAGAAATATTTAGAGTAGCTTGTTAGAATAACAGTCAGAGATATTGGCAGGAAATTATATTTAGCATGCCAGCTAGAATTGTTCTTAGTGATCCAATTTACTTATACAAGATTATAATTAGTTTTTTAAATGCTTAGATTTTTTTTTATTATTGCTCTTTATATAGTTTTCTCACATACTGACATTGGTTGAACTCAAAAAACTCTGAGAAGATCAGGGAAAGAAAAGGCTAAGAAGTATTTAGATGGGAAAGTAGTCAGTAATCACAAGATGATAGGTTAGTCAGAGAAGTTGGAAAAAAACATTCTGGAATGTTTTTTGGAAGCAGTGAACCACTTCTGTATTGTTTCCAAGTGAATTATACAGTTGTAGGACACAGAGTGTCCATTTGAAGTTTTTTTTAATATAACTATATTATATTTAATATAATATAATATTGTAGTTTTTATTGTGTATAACTTTTATTGTGTATAACTTTTATTATTCATATACCATGCTAAGCCATAATGAGGTTTGAGTTTATCTTAGATATTGTATGAAAGGCAGCCAACTGCATCTTTTTCTGTAAACCTGACTTAGTGTAACGTATAAAGTCTTCTATTGGGTTTAAGTTTCAACAGGTCTTTGTTGAAGGGTGTCAAACTCGCAACGTCACGTGAGATGTGACGTATTGCAACTTTTTTTTCCATTGCCAGCAATGGGGTGGGCGCGGTTTCGGTAGGACACATCCGGCCCGTGGGCTGGTAGTTTGACACCCCTGGTTTAACTGGTGCCTGAAATTGGTTTTAATATAACGTAATGTAAAAAGGAAAGAAAACAATAAGAAAAAATAATTTCATCAACAAAAGCTGTCATGACATGCTCCTAGAATAGGAATTAAAGCTTAGTAGAGGATGCATAAAAATGTGGATAGCTAATCTTTTTTTTTATATGATTTATATCCAAATGTGGTTGTTCCTAGAAGCCCAGAGAGAAAGAGAAGGATGACATTAATACAATAGTAAGCTTTATTCAATTGTTAGTTCATAAATCAAAATTATTCACATTAGTATAATTAATACAAACTATAATTCTTGCCTATTCAAGGATCTCTTTCAAAAGTAACACCAAACTGTGGTTTATCACTGCATGTATGAACCTCTGGTTCATGTATCTTTTGGATGCAGCTACACTAAGGAGATTAGAAGCTTTCCCTACCTTTTTCAGGTACTATATTGTTATGTCAAAATCTTGAACTGGGGTTAATGTTAACTGCTGTTTAGATTTCCTTCCCCCCCTCCCTGCTGCCATAAATGACAGTGATTATTTTCTAGAGTTTCAAACATACAAATAGACTGAGGTGAAAATAGTGAAAATGGAAGGAAAATCTCTCCTCAGATCTTTTCTCGAAAACATTAGGAAATGTTTTTCCTAACCACTACGATACATTTTTGTCTCCTACCAGCAATAAATACTGCTGGTTCAATGCATTCATATTAAGTGCCATTTTCCATATGAGATTTTAATTGTTTTGTAGAAAATATTGGGCTAGGAGCAAACAGGTGCTACTGGATTCTGTCTGTAACATGCTTATATCCATATTAATGGATCATGCCATTGTATTTTAAAAGAAATTTGCTCCATGCTTCATTTCCTAGTACTCAGATTCAATCTTGAATTATATTTACTGTTGGAAATAGGGTTTTCTTTTCATTACTTGGCTATAATTTCATGTCATGCATGCATTTGAAAAAGGGATGTTTTAGAGTTCAGCTTTTTGACATGC